ACACACACAACCCACACATCCCCATACCACCCACCCACACTCACAACACCCTCAAACACACCACACCACACACCTCCCCTCCACATCACCCCCCTCCACACACACTGGTTTTTCTTTTCCCTTCTCTCCCAGCCTGTTAGCACCCAGCAGCCATCTTGGTCAAGACTCTGGCCTCGACAACTGGGTTCCCTCAAAGAGCTGCTCTCTCCCCAGACACCGTTCCTGGGATCCCCCTTCTCTCATTCGGCCTCCCTAACATCTCAAAGTCTAGCTCGGACACTATGTGCGCCACTCAGCACCCACGGAGGGCTCTTACCCGCCCTGCAGACCCAGGGGAGGGAGCGTGTGTGTGCGTGTAGAAGTCACCTCACGGGCTGTACGGCTGCGTGCCAACACCGTGACGCATACTTGGGTCTAATGAATAAATCAACGGAGAAAACACTTTATGTAGCATCCCCTTAATCCACTCAGTCAGCAACTACTGATTACGCAGCTATTCCGGGTGAGCAGTATCACAGAATTCTGAAAAGCAACAGCTCGCAAGAAGCGACCGCTAGCCACGCACTCCCAGCGCCTCGTCTGAGCCGGGGGTGCCGGTGCCTGCGCCTGCGCACAAGGTGTGGGAGCCGTGCGTTGAAAGCGGCCCTGTGCCTGCAACTCTGTCCCGAAGAGCACATCCACACTCTGCTTCCAAGAGAACAAAACTCCTTTCCCAAGTTCATGGCAACACCGACCCTTCCCGAGAGCGTAGTCTGTTAGCTTTTCTCCCCCAGTCTAACAATAACACCTATTGGAGGCCCACTCCGTGCCGTGCCGAGTAGTGGGGCACAGGGAGGCGGAGGCAGGGTCCCCACGGCGGAGGAGCTCAGCCAGTGCCCTGCAAACACAGAATTGGCTCCCTGGAAAGGGAGATTCCAGGGCACTCCCAGGCGGCCTTCAGGCTCAGAAATCGATTCTTCCTCTGCTAGGAACAGATTTTTCTCTTTGGAGCAAATGAACCCTTGGGAATGCGATTATCACCTGTAGGGGGAAAGCCGGAGAAAGTGCAAGCACCCAGCAGCCGAGAGAGACACAGAGAACTCTCCCCCTGCGGAGAGGGGGAAGCGCAGGGTAGGGTGGTCCCCAGGCCCTTGGGGAGGGTGCGGAGAGTGAGCCTTAGGACTTGATCTCAGGACAGGCAGGCAAAGGACACCGAGACCCAAAGCGAGTTTTCCTGTTATCCACCCATTCCACAGATCCAAGCCTGGCAAGTCCCACACAGGGTCCTGACCTAGAAATGACCCCAGGCCCCTAGGCCACGGGGAAAAGAGAGACGCTCAGAGGCAGTGGAGGAGCAAGAATAAGAGTCACTCCAGGAGTTCCCTACCTGCCACTCAAGCACCTGTGCCTCCCGTGTCATTGAGTCAGCTTCTAAGAGAGGCCACAGAGGCCAGGGCTGTGCCGACAAAGTGACTCCCCACTGGATGCATTCCACATCGCCACATTCCGGAAAGAAGCCGTTTCCATCAGGGGCTCCTGGTAAGCAGCTCCCCACACCTGCTCGGAGAGCACGGTCTCCTGGGGCCAGCTCGCAGGTACTTCGGCTGCATGTCTCCCTTCCTAAAAGAGCAGGACATTGGGATGCCTGGCAGCAGATACGCGTGAGGTGTGATGAGAACCTGACAGCTAACAAACAGACCGACCACAGGTGACTGACTGATTCTTCAAATGGGCAAGAATGCCAAGAGAAAGGAGCCTGGGAGTTTAAAAAAATCAAGAATGTTTTTGGTCCTTGTTCTACCAAAGCGTGACGGCTCTTGAAAAGCCAGGTCTACAGGTGATACAGGAAAGAAGCAACTAGAAAGTAAGTTAGGGGGCCGGCGCCGCGGCTCACTAGGCTAATCCTCCGCCTAGCGGCGCCGGCACACCGGGTTCTAGTCCCGGTCGGGGCGCCGGATTCTGTCCCGGTTGCCCCTCTTCCAGGCCAGCCCTCTGCTGTGGCCAGGGAGTGCAGTGGAGGATGGCCCAGGTGCTTGGGCCCTGCACCCCATGGGAGACCAGGAGAAGCACCTGGCTCCTGGCTCCTGCCATCGGGTCAGCGCGGTGCGCCGGCCGCAGCGCGCCGGCCGCGGCGGCCATTGGAGGGTGAACCAACGGCAAAGGAAGACCTTTCTCTCTGTCTCTCTCTCTCACTGTCCACTCTGCCTGTCAAAAAAAAGAAAAAAAAAAAAAAAGTAAGTTAGGGGCCGGCGCTGTGGCGCAGTGGGCTAAGCCTCCGCCTGCGGTGCTGGAATCCTACATGGGCGCTGGTTCTAGTCCTGGCCGCTCCTCTTACAACCCAGCCCTCTGCTATGGCCTGGGAAAGCAGTAGATGATGGCCCAAGTGCTTGGGCCCTGGCACCTGCATGGGAGACCCGGAGGACGCTCCAGGCTCCTGGTTTCGGATCGGCTCAGCTCCGGCCATTGCAGCCATTTGGGGAGTGAACCAGCAGATGCAAGACCTGGCTCTTCCCCTCTCTGTCTATAAGTCTACCTCTCAAATAAATAAATATTTTTAAAAATGGTATTGTGCATTTAAAAAAAAAGAAAGCAAATTAAAATATTCAGAGTGTCTCTGAAAGTGAACATCATCTTACCCATAACTTCTGGCTCTTGAAAAACTTGGTGGAAATGGAATGCAAAGATAAGTTTATTCCAGGGCAAAATACCCACCCACACAGGGGGTCTTCAGAGAGTTCAGGGAAAGAGTATATAACGAAAAGAACTATGCATGGAGCTCAAAACAATGCAGCAAAATAAGCTGAGTCTTTCAATTCCATTGTCCCTGAACTTGAGAAGTAGCCTGTGTACCACTGTACCTGTGTGTCACCGGGGACGGATGGGACCGAGTCCCACGCATTCCTGTGACAGTGCGGCCACTCGCTTCTTTCTCTAAAGCCCCAAACTTCACTGCAAAGAGAGCGGGAGCTGGTACCTTGAGCATGCGGATTTCCCGAAGGGCGATTTTCTTTATGACAGGGTCATCTTCGGATTCCAGAAACCTCTTGATGGCCACGATCTGGCCCGTGTCCCTGTTTCTGCATTTGAAAACGACGCCATAGGATCCTTCGCCGATCTTCCCGATCTTCTCGTACTTCTCCATCACAGAGAGGGACACGTGGACACGGATCTCCGCATAGTTTGGAAAGGTCGCCCGTGGACTACGGCACGCGCGGACTGCACTGAGGCCCCAAATCACCAGGGTTTTGGTTTTCTGGGCTTTATTTCCCCCAAGGACCTAGAACAGAACAAGAGCACCTGTGAGAGTCAGGGACGGGCCCCTGTCTTTCAAGATTTTCTGGTTTTTTTCTTTGCTCCTCTGCAATGGCAGCTCTGTCAGGCGCCACAGCCTGGGCTGGCCCGGTGAGGCTCCCGCCTGTAACCCATCACCCTAAAAGGCTCGCCCTGTAAGACAATCTGTCATTTACGGTTCACTGCATCCAATCTGAGACACCTGAGCTCGCCGGAGACCCGGGAAGGCGAGGGGCTCCCCCGGTTCTAATGTCGGGGCTCATTTCCCCGCAGCAAGCAGACACCCGCGGGCTCCCCGGACCTCGGCCGGCCGCTCGGGGCCTCCTCCCTGCTCGGCGCCGCCGGCCTTTCCCAGCCCCGCGCCGGGCCCGCGCAGCCTCGAGCGGCGCCACGTGGCGGGCGGCCGGTCCCGGGCCCCGCTCCGCGCCTCCCGCCTCGCCCGGGACTCACGGCTCCGCGGCGGCCGCGCCGCGCTCCCTCCTCGCCGGCTCTCTCGCCCGGCTGGGCTCGCGGCGGGCACGGCCCGCGATCCCCATGGGAACCGCGCCCGCCCCGGGGCTGGCCTGGGCGGGGCTGCCGCGCTCGCTGCGGGCACGGGCGCCGGGGCCGGTGGCCGCGATGGGGGCGGCGGCCCGCGCTTTCCCGCAACGGGGTCGCCGTCCGCTGGGGGCCGCCTTGGGGGCAGCTCCTCGAGACTGGGGCTTGGTATCGGGGAGCCAGCGCTGGGCGAGGAGTGAAGCCAGAGATGAGGCGAGGCAGCCCCCCCGCCCCCGCCCAGGCAGGCAGGGTCCCACGGACCAGGCGCCTTCGGGTGGGCCAGGTGGAACGTTCCAGGTTTTAGGATCCCAGCTGGCGGTCTGAGTACCGCAGGGGAAGCTGCAGGACCTGGGGCGATCCTGAAAGGAGCTGAATTGCCAGTGCGCAGAGGCCGCCGCACCTGCTCCTGCGTCCCATTCCTCCCGCCCAGCCCGGAATCACTGTGCGGTTCCCTGGCCCAGCACTCCGCTGCCCCGTGTAAACCTGGGTGGGGCCCAGGATGGCTGGAGGTGGCCTGTGAACCCCCCTGAAGCTGCTTGCCCGTGGCGACCCCTGTAACTTTGCCTCTCCCGGAATGTCCTGTAAATAGGGTCGTACTTTCTGTAGCCCTTTGAGGGTAAGTTTCTTTCATTTAAACCACAGTGGCGGTCAGATTCCTCCCTGTTGTTCCATTTATCAGCCTGCGGTCCTTTTCAGGGCTGAGTAGGTTTCCATTGTCAATGTCCCTGTGCGTGTTTATTCATTCTCAGTGGAAGACTATCTGAGCCCTTGTAGAACCTGCCACTGTAAACACTCAAGCCTGGCCCTTCCTATGGACACGTTTGCATGTCCCTGGGGAAAATGCTTAGGAGGAGGCCTGCGGGGTTGTATGATAACTACTTGCTTTTCTGACTCCCAGATGTTTTCCTAAGTGGCTGTTCCAGTCGGTTTGCATCCTTGCCAGCCCTGTGGGTTCTCGAGAGCTTAGCTGTTCTAATAGGTGGGTGACAGCCTCCTGTGGTTTCAGTTTGCATTCCCCTGGTGACTAACCCTGAGTAGTTTTGCATGTGCGTATTTGCATCTGGCTGTTTTCTCTCTTGCAGGTTCTAGGACATTTGGGTAAATTCTCCTCTTTGGCAGATACGGACCGTGCAGTTCCCTCCTAATTGGTGTGCATTTTCTTGCCTCGCTGCACTGGGTAGGATAGACATCCGTGTCTTATCGCTGATCTCAGGAGGAAAGCACTGTCTTGTTCCATTCTGGGTAATGTTGATGTTTTTGTAGATACAGTGGCAGGCAGTGTCAGAGGGGCCCCACGACACCTGCCCCAGAGAGGGGTGGGCGTGGCCTTCTGGTGCCTTCTAAGGAACAGACTTGGTGACACCTGATGGGCTGTCACTTCTGAGATTAGGGGGGAAGGACCGGGACTCCTGCCTTGGATTTTCTTGGGTGCTCTGCTGGTCACTTGCTATGAGGGAAGTCAGGTGTCATGTTGTGAGCTGTCCCCTGGAAGGGTACGAGGGGCTGCCAACAGCCAAAGAACTGAAACCCTCAGTGAAGTCATCCATGACAATGGGAACCCTGCCAGCTCTGTGCATGACCTTGGCAGTGCCTGTCCAACGCAACACCCCAGTTCTAGGGACCTTCCAATGAGACTGGCCCAGCTGACAGCCTGGGTTCAACCCAGCAAGAGACCTTGAGCCACGCACCTGGCAAAGCTGTTCCTGGAGTCCTGAGCTCTGGAAACAGTGAGCTGATAATGTTGGCTGCTAGGTTTTGGGGTAGTTACGCAATGATTCACAAACAACACAGAAGCTGAGCAAGTTCTCTGGTTCCCAGTGTGATTCAGTGTGTTTCTGCTTTTCAAAAATCAGAAATGGGGGCCAGCACCATGGCATAGTGGGTAAAGCTACTTCCTGCAGCAGTGTCGGCGTCCCAAATGGGCCCCTGCACCCATGTGGGAGACCCAGAAGAAGCTCCTGGCTCCTGGCTTTGGATGGACTCAGCTCTGGCCGTTGCGGCCAGTTGGAGAGTGAACCAGCAGATGGAAGACCTCTCTCTCTCTGCCTCTCCGTATCTCTCTGTGTATCTTTGGCTTTCAAATAAATAAATCTTTAAAAAAAAAAAAAAAAGAGTAGTTTACTCCCTAGATAGCCACAACAGTTGGGACTGGGCCAGGCCATAGCCAGGAGCCAGGACTTTATCTGGGTCTCCCATGAGAGCTGCAGGGGCCCAAGCACTGTGCCATCTGCCACAGCTTTCACAGGCCATTAGCAGGGAGCTGGATCGGAAGCTGAGCAGCCAGGACTTGAACGGGCACTCTTACAGGATGGCAGCATTATGGGCAGTGGCTTAACCTATACGGCACCACAGCACTGGCCCAGCCCTCACCCCCATAAGCCTTTAATGCCATAATTTGTCCTATAAGCACTTTAAATGCGGGGCAGAAATCTTGCTATGCTGTATTTTTCATTTCCACTCAGTTCAGAACACTTTCTCATTTCCCTGCGGCTTCCTATTTGACCCGTGGGTTATTGTCAAGTGTGTTGTTTAATTTCCAACTATTTGGGGATTTTCCAGATATCTTTCTGTTATTGATTTCTAGTTTAATCACATTGTTTTTAGGGAATTTACTTTGTATGATTTAAAGTCTTGACATGTGTTGGGCTTTGATTTATGGCCCAGACTGTGGTCTGTGTGGGTGAATGCTTCCTTTTGCCGATTTTGATTGTATTCTGTATTTTGGAATGAAGCGAGAAAGTCAGTGCAGATTTCTCCATTGCCTCTGTGTGTGAAGTTCATTCCAGGTTAGATAAAAAATTAACTTGAGGGATTCCACAAAGTTCAGTTACCAAGGAGCATGGCAGAGTTCCAAGCCCACTAGAAGGTAGGGTACGGAGCCAGTACGGTTATTTATGCTACGTGGGCTGTGAACCAGAGAGCTGGCGTGACTTGCAGCTGCAGGTTGTTTTGTTTGGGGGAAGTTGGAGTAAAATGTTAGAGAACAGCTTTGGGGAGGACAGACAGTTGGTGTCACCATTTAGCACTGGGGAGAGAGAGGATGCTCTCTCTCAATACTCTCAATCAACGGTCTTTCCAGCCGAGCGATCTGCCATGGCGGTGGCTGATGGCAGGGCAGGTGCAGCCCTCTGGAGGCTGAGGAGTGGTCTGCTACGTGGGGTCTGTGTCGTAAGCAGCGCTGGTGGTAAGGCTACGTTATTTTCCACGGAGAGCGATCTTGCCTTTACAGTGCTGTGTAATTGGAATACTTCAGTGTCCCCGAGGCGGCACAAACAGTCCTGTGGAATTTTAATCACCTAAGGAAATAACAAACATTCAGCAGAGTGACACGTGGTCGCAGAGAGCCCAGGTGTGCAGGATTCCTGCCTTCCTCCTGGTGCTTGATCTCGTGCAAGGTAACGACTGTGGCCGCCCCAAGGGCAGCAACTACTATTTAGCCAGTGCTTACTTGGTGGCAGGCCATATGCAAAGATGGTTTTGTGTCGGAGCCTCACCCTAACCCTAGGAGGTGGGCATCAATATCGACCTGAGGTTTTAGATGAGATGCTGGAGCAGATGAGCTACCTGCTGACCCCCGGGCCCCTGCTGCCTGATTTGCTAACGCTCCCTGACTCACGGTGGTTAATGGGTCGACATTGACCCAGCTACCTGTGATGTACAATGAGCAGCCTCCTGCTTTTCTCTTAAAGTTCCCCAGGAAGATGTGTCTTGTCAGCACGCTTGCTTCTCACTGGCTGGCTTTAAAGAATTCCACTGGCCACTTCTGTCTGGGAAGTGAACCAGCAGATGGAAGATCTCTCTGATTCTCCCTCTCTCTCTGTGTAACTTTGACTTTCAAATAAAGAAATCAGAGAGAGAGAGGGAGGGAGGGAGGGAGGGATCTCCCATACGGGTGTCAAGGGCCCAAGCACTTGGGCCATCTTCTGCTACTTTCATCAGGCCATGAGCAGAGAGCTGGGTTGGAAGTGGAGCAGCCAGGACTCGAACCCGTGGCAGTATGGGATGCGAATGTTGCAGGCAGCGTCTATACCGGCTCTGCCACAGCACCAGCCCCACTGTTTTGACAGTGATCATCCTAACAGGTGTGAGACGGTATCTCTTTACCATTTTGATTTTAGTTTCCACACATGGAAGTGGCTTCAGCTCACTTCAGCAGACAGGGATTTATCAAGGGCTAGTGAATAGCTTCTGGGAGCCCCAGGAGGGTCAGACCCAGATCTGGAGCTGGCACAGCCAGAAACAGGAAGCCCACTCTGTGGTAGCCTCAGTCAGACCTCAGTGCCGCCACTGCAGGGACCACAGGACACTGCTGGAACTGGGCACGAAACCTGCGTCCAGCTGCCCCAGGAGACCAGACTCCTTGGCACCATCCAAGCCAGGAAAACGGATGGAGGACAGCACGTGCTTCCTCACGCTCCTCTCTTTCCCACCGAGAGGCGTGAGTGGGTGAGGTTGGGCCGGCTGCTGAGCTGCCGAGAAACGGAGTTGCAGCTTCTGCCTTGGAGAGGCCAGATCCTCCATGAGCAGCACGAATGGAGGGGAGGGTTTGCAAAGACAGAGCATGAGAGGCACCCACTGCATTATGCATTCCCCTCATAATTAGGGTGGTGATAGCCACGTCACTGACTTCAAGGTGAAGCAAGACCCCTCACGTGGAATGTCTAATACGGTGCCTGGCACAGGGCAGGTGCCAACGATGCCACCCATCTCCTTTCTCCAAAGGGTGAGCACCATTTCCGCTGTGTGGGGCAATTTTAGGAACCTCAGGAGAGCACAGTGAGTCCCTCCCCCGATATCCTAGTACAAAGTTCCATGTTATTACATTGGTTTAACTTCTGATCTTAGAAAATCTATCTCCCCATGGGAGACCAAGAGAAGCACCTGGCTCCTGCCTTCGGATCAGCGCCGTGCGCCGTCCGCAGCATGCTGGCCGCGGCGGCCATTGGAGGGTGAACCAACGGCAAAGGAAGACCTTTCTCTCTGTCTCTCTCTCACTGTCCACTCTGCCTGTCAAAAAAAAAAAAAAAAAAAAGTGTGTGCCTTGGTCGGGGGGAGTGCCTTCAGCTGAGGCAG